TTCAAACGTTCAAAACCTGTTTAAAATTTTTGAAGCATTTACTACCAGTGGTACATGAAAAAAGAACTTGCTTCATAATCATTCTGATTTTACTAATGCCTAATCCTGAATAATGCCACAGTGTGTTTTTACTAATCAGTTTATAGAATTTTCTGCTCAGATGAGTCAGAATATGGCTGAACTGCAATAACCTTATCTGTTTAGGCATGGACTGTTGATAAATGTAAATGGAGCAGAAAATGAAGATGACCATCACACCATAGGGGGGCACCACAAGCTGTCTATTGTAACCCACCAAACTGGACTTTTGTACTATACCCCTGATGGTTAGGATTAGTATGAAATACGTAGGCCTTTTTCTTGTCTACAGCAAATTCCCAGAAGAAAGTGCAAGTATGCAAGAATATAGAATATCGTGCCAAATTTCAGTTATTCAGGATTGGATTGGGTGTCTGTTAAATATTTGCAGAGAACTTGATGATCTGTTTTTGTTGAAGTTTGGTTGGCTGGTTAGATATAATCTAAACTTATTCTAAAGAGATGAATATGCAAAGTACAGTGATGGCTTGCAGTCTTCCCGTTAGTGCATGACCCAGATTTGAATTTTGTTATCTTAATTATGACTCCATAGGGGCTCAATTAAGCTCCCTGCATCCTGTAACATCACAATCTCTACACTACATCAAACATATGATGAAGATCTGTGTTCAGTGCTTCTTCCTGTTCATACTGAAATATCTTTTGGCATGATTAGAAACCAGACTGAATGCAAAATGACTATGCAAACATAATGCAAACAGACTTAGTGGATAGTCTTTTGCATTCAGTCTGGTTTTAATCATGCCAAAAGATATTTCAATGCGAATAGGAAGAAGCAGGCACAGACACAACTACAGTACCCTTCAGGGTGTGTACTTGGCATCTTTTCAACGTAAGGGAGATGGATCTTACTCCTGTGTCATGATCGTTTTACAAGTTATAACCTCCAGATGTGCAGACAAGAACTTGTACCCTTCTGTCTGCTGGCAGCTCCCTAACAGAAAACACTTGTTTCTTCAGAACACTTCAGATGATGATGGATATGGGTGTGCACTTGACTCAAGGCAACTCATTAAGTGATGCCCATAGTAAACAGTGCAGGATGTTGACATCTATATTTATCAGCGTTTAAAAGATATTCATTTCCAAACATTCCTTTCCGAAATCCACAACGATAATGGAGTTGCTAATTCAAAAAATAAACTTCGAACATACAGATTATTAAAACACTCATATAACGAAGAAGATTATCTTAAGATCGCAAATGTACGTCACAGATCTGCCATTACTAAACTAAGAATCAGTTGTCACAATTTGCGAATTGAATCAGGAAGACATAACCGCACTCCTCTAGAGCAAAGAATCTGCCAATATTGTAGTTTAGGTAAAGTAGAAGAGGAGGTACATTTTATTGTGGATTGTTCCATGTATGACAGCGAAAGAAACGTTCTTTTCGATTTTGTGTCAAGCAAATACTCCCAATTTAAGTATTTGAATAGTATAGAGAAATTTATATTCCTTGTAGTCTTTAACAAACCAGCTTTAACTACTCATACAGCCAACTACATTTATAAGATTACCAGAAAGCGAGAGGAAGTTGAACGTGCTTGTGTACTATAGCCGCTTTATTATCAACATTGATGATGTACTTTGTCAATATGTGACCTGTCTTTAGCCCAGTGGGGCAAAATGTACAATAAAGGTCTTCATTCATTCATTATGAAAATGTGCTGTGGCATAATCTGGTGCAGATTGAGAAAGCTAGCTATAGGAGGTCTGCTGCAAAAAAATATGGGGCATTTACCATAGCGAAAAGACTACAGATGACCCAATTTTTTAAAACACCAGCTGTAGCAAAGCTGGATTGCTGAGGAAAAAGTGTAATGCATCGATCATCCTCAATGATGTCAATCAGAGGTAGACTGGAATAAAAGAAAGACCATCCTACCCAAACATTGCCACATGTGTGTCTGAGTCATTCTGACATGTTCTCGACAGTGATAAATCGGTAAATGTTGCTTGTCCTGTTGTAGTTGTTAGTCCTCCCACCCTAGAAAGAACCCAAACACAGATGTGTCCCAGAAAACATGGTTATCATGTGGTGCATCAAAAAGTTCCTGGCCTTGTTGCATAGCTGCAGCTGTTAGTGTTACCAAGGAAAGTCAATGAGATTAAATCTCCTTGGTGTTTAATACTGCAACCAGTTTCACATTTCTACCAACATTTAGACATGCCACTGATCAGAAAGACTTCTGTCTCAATGCAGTATCAATTTGTACTTGCGTGAACTTCGTGCCGTGAACTTAAGACAGTGCTGTTTGAAAATCATACACAGTGATGGTAGTCCTTTGCAGTACGTACTGCAGTACAGCCTGTAAAAAAAATGGCAACATATGTTGAAGACATAATCTCTAAGCAGATGTTGGTGGAGGCTAAGTGATGTTCCAAGCTGCTACTTTCTGTGACAAACTGAGATTCTAACAAATCTAAGGAAAAATGGCAGCGAGGAACACTTAATGATATACTAGCCTTCCCAACGTCTGGTCACAGATTTGTAGACACAACATGACATTGTGACCTGTGTCCGTTGGACAACTAACCGGTGCAGAACCGGCTTTAAAAGGCTTATGGTGTTTTGAATTCCGTTGGATGAGAACTAATGATGTTGTTGGGAATGAACCCTGAGGCAATTTGCTCCTCGAAGCGTGCAGATTTTTAAGACGGCAAAGCCGTGAGCCAGGCTTAAGTCTGAGTCAGATCAGACACACCTGTACATATGTATAGCCTGGATTTGTTCCTACTAATAGCACATTTGAACAAACATTCTTCTCTGTATAGATCAGGCTTAGAACTTTTCTTCTGAGAGCCTTCAGTACTTACAACAGGTATTAAATCCATGATGTCACACACAAGAGTATAGTACTACATTGAGTCACCTCTCACCTAAACCAATTATACTTGGATGGGAAAACATTCTTTTGAAATCGTGAATAAGTTCAACTGCATGAAAAGAGAAGTAGCCCATTACCCCATATGAAGTCATTACCAAGCAAATTCAATCTGAAAGAAAATGCCAGTGCCTAAAGTGCTTTTATGTGGGCAGTGCCAACTCATCATTACATTAGAGTCATTTAGATAATATAACATACTTTCGAACTTCAAAAGAAGATCATCTATAAAGAAGATCATCTATATCAAAAAAGTAACTGATTACCATTGAAAAAGGTCTTCGCCATTTGCAAAGTCAATTTGACAGGAAATGCCAGTGCCTAAAGTGCTTTTATGTGGCCAGTGCCAACTCATCATTACATTAGAGTAATTTAGATAATATAACACACTTTCAAACTTCAAAATTAGCTCATCTATATCAAAAAAGTAACTGATTACCCATAGAAAAAAGTCTTCACCATTTGAAAATTCAATTTGACAGGAAGTGTGATTGCCTAAAGTAAAGGCTTCTATGTGCCTGGTGCCAACTCATCATTACATTAGAGTAATTTAGATAACATAAACATACTTTCGAAATTCAAAAGAAGCTCATCTATATCAAAAAAGTAACTGATTACCCATAGAAAAAAGTCTTTTCTGCAAATTCAATTTGACAGGAAAAGCGATTCCCTAAAGTCTATGTGGTTGGTGCCAACTCATCATTGCAGTAGAGGAATTTAGATCATATAACATACTTTTGAACTTCAAAAGAAGATCATCTTTATCAAAAAAGTAACTGATTACCCATAGAAAAAAGTCTTAACCATTTCCAAATTTAATTTGACAGGAAATGCGATTGCCTAAAGGCTTCTATGTGGCTGCTGCCAACTCATCATTAGGCCACACCAATTTAATTTGTTGGTTCTCGGATTCGCCTCTTCATTTTTTTCTGATTTGCAAAAAAAAAAAAAAAAGATTCTGGTTCTGAATCAACTCAAAAATGCTCATATTTTGCCCCCAACAGTTGAGGAAATTCCTTTTCTTCCTAGTTGTTACAGTTTTTTCCATCTATCAATGCAGTGGTTTGATTAAAAGTTCAAAATTTATGCTTTAAATTTTAACCCAGCCTTTTTTGTTGACTTCATGGCTCATTGTAGCATTTGGGGCTATAATAGGATGCCTAGACCTGTTTTTATTTTTTTTCGCCCTGTCGCTTCATTTTTTTCTGAAAAAATCCGAGAACCATTAAATTAAATTGGTGTGGCCTTACATTAGAGTCATTTAGATAATGTCTGCCAAGTGAGGGAGGAACTTCCGTGTTCCCAACACTTGACCTTGCCTAATAAGGTCACAGTCTGCGCCCATATAAGGTAATAATGAGATTATAGTGGGAAGGTTACATCATGGTCGGTTTCCGCTGGTTGTTTCAGGTTTAATGTGATTTCCTTTCACTTAGCAAGTGCTTGGCTCACTGTCAGCTGAATTTTTTATCTCTGAATCAATGAAAACACCATTAACTTCCTGCAGTTGTGGTTGGTACGTTTTGTTCCCAAGGGTACAATAGAGTGTTTTTGCTCCCAAGGGCACAGTGTGCCTGAAGGTGCATTTGCACATGCACAGCGTCAGTGTTCCTGAATACTTGCACGTAGACACATTATGGGGTTTTTCATTCATACCTTGTACACTTCAGAAGCTTTATGCATTTGAGAAATATTCTTGCATATATGTGTTTTTTTTGTCACATTTCCTGCAACAGTAGACATCGTAACTGTAGTTTAATACAATAAAAATTATCAATACTCAATGAAATATTTCCTTATGCCTAATTTCATAAGTATTTCTGAACATTTGCACATACTGTAGCAACTTACATTTGCAGCACCACATTGTACTTGTCTCTGTTCAGATATTAATTAAACTGTTCAGCAACTCAAATAGTTGGAGGACAGTTTCAAGTTTAAGTTTATATCTCACCAACTCAGTGATGAACTTCCATGCTAACAAAAAAAACTGTTCTGTGTTTCCCCATGTAGATCTGGGTCCAGACATGAAGTCATTCTCAGACAGCATGCAGCCTTTAGACTATCACGAGCTCCTGTTGGATGAAGACAAGGACCTGATTTATATCGGTGCCAGGGGTCGGGTCTTCGTACGGCAGCTCAGCACCCTCGGACAGCCGCAACAGTCTGATATTGTAAGGAACATCAAACTTAGAGATAGATGAGGATTTGAAATGTATGTTCAACAGCCAATACAGCCTGATATTGCAAGGAACTTAGATCAGGTTCACATACAGGCAAAAGTCTGGTGCACTTATGCAAGCATACAAAAATCTGTCAAATTTTTTCTGCCACTACAGCCTAAATATCGTAAGGAGCGTCAAACTTTGTGAATATGCAAAGGAGAAAATAATTCTTCTATTATAAAATGATTAAAAAATTCAAGTTCAGTGTGAAGCAAAATCCAAAAGTGATGCAACATCTGCTCCTAATAACAAAAGAGCCTGTTCTCCCATCTGATAACATTAGCCATGGCAGACAGGGAGTCATCATTACTTCTGACATATGGCCTCTAACTATTACTGTTGACATCCTGCACCAATCATTACCAGGCATGTCATTAGTGCTGCTAGAGCTCTTTTGACAGGTTTAACTTTTGGTAAGTACAAGCAGCTTTACAACTTCACCTGATGTACAAATTGTGTCATATGTACATATACTGACACAGGCAGAAACAATAATTTAGTAATAGTACAAGTCATGTATGTATAGCGCAACCATGACATAGTCCATATACCCATTGTCAAAAGGTAGAGTTGTGCATTAGAGTTGACACTTGCCAGCACCATTGTTTACTGGTCCTGTCAACTCCAAGCCCCAGGGTTTGGTGACTTGCCAACTGAGAGGGGCCCAGCAGGGTTTCTCTCCCAGATTTCTGTTATGAGAAATTTTTAGTATGTACAGGGGTAGTGTTTTGGGTGTTCTTGAATGTGTTTTGGGTGTGTTTGTGTTTTTGGGTGTGTTTGTGTTTTTGGGTGTGTTTGTGTGTCTGTTTGTCTATGTGTGTGTGTGTGTGTGTCTGTGTCTGTGTGTTTGCACATTGGTGGGAGGATTCTCTAACCACAGACCACTAATACAGTCCGACACAGGAAGTTACCTGTCACACCTTATCTTTGCACATCTAACTGGAAGCATTGTTTAAAGATTACTAGAATCTAATGAGGATACCCCTAGAATTCTTAGTACATGCACATAAGTTACAAGTTCCTCTACTTTATTATAGTTCTAGGAAAAGGCAATGTTTTAAACACCTCAATCCTGGAATTTCTCACAGCCTTTTTAGAAAGATACCAGCTGCTTTTACTTAAGTCCTTCTGGTTGTTTTTAGCAGCAAGAGTTGTGTTATCTTCACAGGGCTTTGCCATAGACATAACTTCCAGAGACTGTAGATAACTGCCTATACATTTGTAGGGGTCAAAACAACAGGGTCAAGGCTGGAAGTCTATTCTGGGGAATAGGTGAACAGGTAAACATAACCTCAAAATGCACTTTGGGTGCACAACATGTTAAGCTTGGAAAAATTGCAGTGAACCCAAATTTGATTAAAAATTATCAACGTACAATATAATGTAAGTAATACAACAATTTCAATGGTTTTCACATTTTCCTCTGATACAAATGTATGTCCAAATATACTATACACAAGTGTTCAATTGGAGTACAAATGTACCTTTTCATACATGTATATCTTTGTGTACCCACAGTCAAAAATTAGATCAACTTCTCCAATCTCGGATGTGCAACGTGCGGGACATTTGTAACAGAATATGGATGACTTTTAAGTTTTATCAATATCAGTTAAAAGATTTTTAAGTTTCTTTTTTTTTTTTTGCACATACAGCAAGAGTCCCTCCAGTGGGAATCCAGTGAGGAAGACAAGGACCTTTGTGGGTTTAAGGGGAAAGACAAGGAGGTAAGTCAAAACTGCTAAACTGCCTTTAGACCTATAAGTAGTAAAATAACATTGTACAGTGACTAAGGTACAAGCTGCATAAGACCGGACTGTAAGGTGTGATCCACTCGCACCAGGTTGGACCCTTACTTTTTCAAAAAGTGTGGTTGGATCTTTAACATGCTCAAGAGGTGGCTCTCCTTATAAACCTTTTTTTTAACAGGATGTCCTATCCTAGAGGATGTCCCTAACCAAAGCTAGCTATTCATTTTCACCTGACTTGGGTGATCCCCCAACTCAAGTGAAAATGAGTGGAAATAGATGCATAGGTGTAAAGTGAAGAAGTAGGTGTAAAGTGCCCTTCCCAGGGGCATAAAATTGGTGCTTGCTATAGGGATACAAACCTAGAACCGTTCGATTCTTATGACCACCATGCCACCTAATTGCATGGACAACAACAACCTACATGAATAATGACGTGGAAATGTACAGAGTAAATGGCACAGTATAGATTATGTGGTGCCTAATGGATAGTCCTGTATTTATGGAGGCCTCTAGTTATAAATCAGTGTGTTGAATAATACATACTAATTGACTGTGACTACTGTAAAGGTTTTTTATTGAATTGTGGCTGAAGGATGGGGTATCAGGAATGAATGCCTTGTGTTGATGCTCCTGGAAATGTAAAAATGCTAGAGATTTTTCTCATTTTGCATGCTGTAGCCTTTTATTCAAGTACATTTCCATTAAACCTTTTTTTCAACACCTTAGGCTTAACTAAAGGGCATATTGCGTATCGGACAGAATAAACGAAGATTCATATCCCTACTGATATATCTTAAGCTTTGCTGAATGGTTTCTCTAAAGTATTCATGAGAAAAGAAGACCCCAGCTGCAAGGGCCATCACTGTACCTGGTGTATATTGATGTTATTTAGGATTGGATGGAGACAGAAGGCTTCTGCCTTTGAACCATTCTTAATGAGAAATGCAGATGACACTCTCAGATACACTGATTGATTCTGCATTGCTAATATGTATATAACCAATACATCATAGACATGTCTGGTACCTACATGTACCAAAATATTGTTGAATACTATAAGCACATTTGTATCAAGTGATTTCTATACAGACCAGCTCAAGTGACCACCTCTACATAAGGACCACCTGCAAAATGTGACCACCTTTTGGTGGTCTCAGTTAAATTTTTCCCCTTGACACCAGCATTTAACAATGTAAATTGTCCATATACTATATAGAGTCAGTTTTTCTTGGTCCCCTTGAGCAGTTTTGACTGTATACTTTTCAGTTGTACCACAAAAGTCTTTGACGCGAAATCAACACATTGTAGATATTCACACAATTTCTGTCCCTCCTTTTGCAGAAAGAGTGTCACAACTTTATCCGAGTCCTGCAGTTTGCTGGGCAGGATTCTCTCTTTGTCTGTGGGACCAACGCATTCGACCCCAAGTGTGCCTACGTACCAGTAAGTCCAATTTTTTACTGTCATAGTTTTCACAAGAATAAAATACACTGTAACATTTTTGTACTAGTGATTTTTTAAACATCATCCATTGTGCAATACTATACCTTGACCGGTACTACTAGCTGACTGCTGCCAACCCCTGTGGCAGGGACAACAGCAGCAGAATAATCAAATCCTGGATAGTGAGTGTGAGTGAGTGATTGTAAATGTACATTCAATTTAGTAATATCACATTAACATTTTGAGGCAGCAGAATAGAGCAGAAGTAGCCTGGTTACCAAACCTGTCTTAGGAAAATTGCTGAGAGAACAAAAAAAGAGTCCGCAGCTAAAATAGGTTTGGTAACCAGGCAAGAGCAGTAGACTAGTATGAGATGAAAAATGTTCAGTTCAGTTCAGGTCATCCTCTTTTGAGGTGCCATTCATAATGTCTCTCCACGTGACTCTGTCGCGCATGGCGGACAGAAGTTCCTCATCCCGTAGGCCAACCTCTTCCTCGATCAGTTTCTTTAGCGTCAGGCACGGACGTCCCCTCCTTCTCTTTACATCTGGTTGCCAGAGAAGCACTTTTGCGGCCATCTCTTCGTGGCGTACCACATGACCGGCAAGGGCCAGTCGTCTGTTCTGAATGGTCTGGGTAATCAGGGGTGTTGTAGAGTTCTTTATTACTCATGCGGCTCTGCCATGGAACATTCAGCACGCACCGAAGCAGGCGCGTGTAGTTACCATTCAGTTTCTTGGACAAGGCTTTAAAAAATGTTTGTATGTTTTTTTCAGCGTAATCTGGCTATTACTGTTGATGAACTACGTAGCAGAAGCGCCGAAGGAAACAGCATCTGTCCATTCGACCCCAAGCAAAGAGCAACGGCTACATTTGTTGGTATGCAAACAAACACCTCTAAGTTATAAGGCCACACCAATTTAATTTCTTGGTTAACAGATTTTTCTAAGAAAAATAATGGAGCGGGCGGGCGAAAAAAAAAATAAAAATAAAAACAGGCCTAGGCATCATATTATGGCCCAAAATAGTACGATAGGAGCCATGAAGTCAACACACCAGGCTGTTTCAAAATTTAAACAATGAATTTTGAACTTTTAATGATACCACTGCATTGAAAGATGGAATAACTGTAACAACTAGGATGAAAAGGACTGTTTTCAACTGTTCAGGGCAAAATATGAGCAAGTTGCAGTTGATTCTGAAATTTTATTTTTATTTGCAAATCAGAAAAAAATGAAGCGGCGAATCCGTTAACCAAGAAATTAAATTGGTGTGGCCTAAGGCAGCATTTGTTTCTGATACCACCATAACGTTCAATGGTGCATATACCATGTCAGAAGAAGCTCTTATTTGTGACATACAACTCATAGTGGGAGACATTTGAAGCATGAGAATTGAAGTCACGCATGTACATGTATATAATGTGACCACCAATTACTCTACTATTAAACATTTGTATTGTAGTCTAGCATTGACTTTATGTGATCAATCTTTCAAATTGATCCAAAGTTCCAATCTGTTGTTAAAGAACTTCATTAGTAGAATGTGTCATCATTGCCAAGTGCAGGTAAAATTGGAGCCGTGCAGGTATTTCTCATGACACACCTGCACCTAACCAGTCCATGTATTGGGTTTATATATACAAATGTATGTGGGTTTTTATTTGCTGTATTGACTGTTCCCACC